GAGGGGAGGGAAAATTTTTAACATCAAATTACTCTTTTGACCTTATTGTGAATTATTTTATTTTTTTCCTTACATCATTAAGGATATATTTGTCATTCTAACATTATTTTCTCTCCCCCTCCATCTTCTAACCAAACAAGGTTAATCATTTTCCTTCACCTCCCTCTCTACAAAATCCATTCAAACAAGGTAAATTATTTTCCCTCCCTTTCCCTCCCCTCCCCTCCCTTCCATTAAATTCCCTCCCCTCCCCTCCCCTCCCGTGAACCAAACATAGGCTAAGGGTTGTTTGGTTTGAGGGATTTGGAGGGGAGGGGAGGGGAGGGGATGAAGAATTTTAATTTTCACTTGTTTGGTTGGAAAATTAGGAGGGGAGGGCGAAGAAAATTTTAAGTGATTTTCCTTCCCCTCCCCCACTTTTTCTCCCCTCCAAAATTGGAGGGATTTGGAGGGGAAGTGGTTTGTAATGATATAGAATTACCTTTTAGCCCCTACTTTCAATTGTTTTTAATTTTTTTTATTTCATTAAGGGTAAATTTGTCATTTTAGTTTATTTTCCCTTCATCAACCAAACAAGGTTTACCATTTTCTCTCTCTTCCCCTCCTAAATAATCCATCCAAACAAGGTAAAATTATTTTACATCACCTCCCTTCCCCTCCCTTTCCCTCCATTAAAATCCTTCCCCTCCCTTCCCCTCCATTGAACCAAACACACCCTTAGGTGAAATATTCGAATTTAGGCAAAATTGTATCAAAATGCACAACTTTTCAACTTTTTACAATTTGATCATCACTTAAGTACATCATCTTCATGAATTTGGCAAATCGAATCATGGTAAACGGAAAGTCGTGTGAATGCTAATGTGGCTCACTGACAAATACACATGGAAATCCATATAATATTGTTATTTACACAAATCGTTTCTCCCAAAATCCACCCCAAAATACAAAACCCTAAATTCTCTTTCTGTAAAAGACAAAAATCGTCCAAAATTATATCATCTTCAAATCGAAAGATGTCGTGTGGATCATTGGTAGTGGAGGTTGTGTAATGAAGATCGTGTATCGAGACTCGGTTTTCTGTAGCAACCCGCGCTAATGGCCAAGATAAAATGTGAAAATTCCGCACTATCAACTTTGGTTTATCACGAAAAAAGTACTCAGGAACGAGCTTTTTTTTTACACTTTATTTCGTAAAACTTGATTATCTGGATATCTGATACATGGTTTCTAAATACTAGAAGAAATACATCAAACTTACAAGACAATTAAAATTTAACACACACAACTTAGCTAATCCTGCCTAAGTTAACTACTCTTAACTTCCAGGCCATCGCGACGCGGCGACTTGCCAGCCCCTATCCTCTGTCATCTTGACGGTCCCTGCGGCCAAGCTCGCAGCGCGACCCTTCTACACCGTCACGGCGCGATACCCTGGACTGCTCCCAAGCTCTATCATTGTGACGGCCTCGCGATCGCTTGATACGCATCATTCCCGACCCATTCTCGAATATCCTTGTCCTCAAGGATACATGCAATTTATATTTTATGTTATAACTTTTGAAAAACAAATTGACAAATGATTAGTAAAGTTGTAGTTTAGCTAACACACTTGACCAGACAACTCCAAATAGGCAAAACTAAGGTTTTGAAAACTGAATCGGTTATCAAATCGGTGAAGCTACCGGTTCAATGATTCACTGGTCAAACCAGTGGTTGAACTAGACGAATGGCTTAATTAATATATAATTTATTATTTATTTTATATGTATAATATATGTTTGCATATATTCTTATCATTGCTTTTTATAGTGTGTACTATATAATGACATTTCTCTATGTACAAAATAATTGTATTTATTTTTTACCGTTAGTTTTATATGCGTAATCTATATCTATATAAAAAGATTTACCATTTTTAAAAATGGCAGGTCAATTTTTGGTCAAACCTCTTTCTTCATTAATTGCTTTCTACTTATGGCAACTTTTTTTTTTACTTACACGTCCAGCATGAATTATATCTCATTTCAAATTCAAATATTTAAATAATATTTTTTTAAAGAGTTATGAATATCTATTAATATATAATAAGGATTAACATAATTCACTTTTAGAAATTTTTTTCCCACCAATTTCATTAATTACATATTAAATTTAGAATGATAGGACAATTCGGGAGAAGAAATTAATGAGCATCCATAATTTTAGGAATAAATTGATACAATTTGATTTTTATTCACTTTTCAAAATTTGGTTAGATATTGTATATGGAATAAACTGATACATCCAGAATTTTAGGAATAAACTGATACAATCTCAATTTGCTAATATGTAGGCAAAATCTATGGAATAATATAATTCCGGCATGGACATGGCCGTGCACTGCTTCCCGATTGACCTCTTACACCTCAAAGGTATTTATCCTTCCACAAATTAAATATATATAAATATATTATTTATTTATTTTATGTTTTAGAATTTTTAATACAATGTTTAATTAGAAATCTAACATTCTACAAATTTATTAAAAAATTTACTATTTAATCATTTGTTTTCTTATAACTACAAATGGTTATTTTACCTTTTTTTTCCTGATAAATTACATTAAATAATATTTTCATATCAATATTATTTTACATTATATATATCTATATATATAATAGGAATGCAAATCAAATATAATAAGAATTTCTTGCCATTATGGATTAATTACATCCTAATTATAGTAATTTTACACAATTCCTTAAAACAAACCTCGAAGCATTAATTGCAATCAGTTTTAACTTCCCTCGACAACCGAATTTATTGTTTTAAAAAATATGTTCCATAATATTTGATTAAACACTAAATTTGATTATTTGGAATCAATTATATTTAAAAGCAATGTTATTATGGAATCAAATATTATGAAGTATAGTTTTAAAATCAGTAAAATTATGGAATCAAATAATTTAACCACGATTCAATATTTTTAATTCAGTCTATATCTCTTTTTAGACTTTTCAATTCATTTTAATATAAATTTGTCGTAAAAATGAGTGTAGAACTTTACAATAATCATGGTATCAATATTAATAATATAAATGATAAAATAAAAAATTTTATTATTTAGACTGTACACTTTAATATATACATATATATAAATCGCATATTTGAACTTTAAATTTTTTATTTTTTTCATATATAGTTATACAATATATGCAACTTAACTACAAGTAAAAAATTTAGTAAAGATTTAATTTCAACCATGATAACATGTTCTTAAAAATTGCCACAATATTCGATTCATTATTCTACTAGGCATGTAAACAACTTTTTATTTATATTATCACAATTTTTTTTATCATTTTGAATTATTTTTTTTATCAATTTAGTTATGAAATATTTTTTTTCATTTAAAAATAGTGATTTAATGTCATCCAAATTTAGTTAGTTTTGAGCTACAAATAATAAAATATCGTTGTTATTTTTTTTTAACGTAATTATTTTTGTAAATATTATTTTACAAAAGATACAATCGAAAATCCAAATTTCTGTTAAAACGAAACAAAAACAAAATTGTTCCCAATATTGGAATGAATTTGGAATAAAAACGAGAATGATTGAAAAAAAAAAGATATACTCAAAATCCACACTTTAAGGTAACAATTTTTTTTTATATTCTATATAAAATTAAACTTCACCAGATAAATCATATCTTTAGTATTTATCACAATATTACATATTTACACTAATTTTAATTTGTGGTGCTAACATAACGAAAATTAACAAAAAAAATAAAAAATAAAAAATAAAGTAGGAAAGTGTCTATGCAGTTCGCAATTACCAACTAGAGAGCAATCTTGGTAAATATCGGACTACGGTTGCCAAGTGCAAAGTAATTTTGCATTGAAAAATGACGATTTTTTTAATAATGTATGACTTTTTCATGACGAACATTTTACGATTACCTAATAAATACTCTATGTATTATAACTTCTTGATTAATAATTTAATTATAAATCTTACCAAAATAAATACAGTCCGTGCATCGCACGGGTTACGTACTAGTGATACAGACTAATAAGACCTTAAATTAAAAAAAAAGCAACTAATAAATAAATCTATATATATATATATATAAAGATTTACCATTTTTAAAAAATGGCAGGTCAACCTTGGTCAAATTTTAATTAGCATTAATTACTTACCATTTTCAGTAACTTTGTTATTTTTTATTTTTCAAAAATCCTGCAGTGTTGCCTTTAAATTAGGAATTTTGTTACATTTTTTATTTGAGGTCATTTGAATGAAGTTTAAGATAAGATGCATGATTTGCGGTATGTTTCTATATTTAATTATATAATGTTTGTTTTTATTCAATTCATGATTATCTCTTCTAAAAATTATAATTACCTCTTCTAAATGATAATTACTATTTGAAAAGTAATTCTTATATCCAATAATGTGAACAGACTAGCTAGATACATTAGTTAGTTGTTAATTTCTCAAATATTACAAATGAATCTATTCTATTAATAAATAGGAATGATAAGGATATCATATTTGTAAGTCAAATAAATAATTATATTATTATAGTTAAACCTGTTGTGGACCTAAGGTAAAAAAAAAATAAAAAAAATAAATTATGATCAATAGTGTCTAAGTATGCAATAAATAAAAATTATCTAAAATAA